TTCCTTCTTCTAGAAACCAACTCAATCTGGCGTTGACCATTCGCTCCATTGTCTTACATAGACAGCTTGTTAATGCTATTGGTTGGTAACTTTGTGGGTTGTTTCCCTCTTTTCCTTCTTTGAGTATGGGAATAATTACTGATTCTCTCCATATTTTGGGAAATTTCCCAGTAGTCCAAATATTGTTAAAAATATTCAAAAGGTATTTCAGCGATTCTTGTGGTAGTTGTTTAATAAATTCATAGTGGATTTGGTCTGAGTCTACTAAAAGGTTTTTAATTCTTCAAGGAAAGCTTTTAATTCCTTACATAGATTTGTTATTTCAACTGAACCTTTTATTTTATCTTCATTGTTTATTTTATTTGCTTATTGTGCCATGGAAGCATATGTTTTCTTTTATATTATTTATAACTTCCTTTCGTGCTTCTATGCAAGATATATTTTTTTTGTATTTTATTCTAATTATTTCTTTCTCCTGTTTATATATATTGCATTGTTTTGAGAGGGCAGAGTGGTTTCCCAAACAGTTTGAGCATAGGCTCTTATTTGGGCAGTTCTCTTCTTTATGTTCTGGTTCTTTCTCACTACATTTCCCACATATTTTTTTATTTCTACAGGAATCTCTGTGATGCCCAAATTTGTGGCATTTATAGCATTGTAGAGGGTTTGGTACATATTGTTCTACTTTTATACTTTCATATCCAATTTTTATTGAAGTTGGAATTTGGGGGGAGTTGAAAGTTATAATGTAGGTATTAGTTTGTATCTCTGCTCCATTTTTTTTAATTGTTATTCTTTTAACATTTGTAACTCCTTGAGTTTGGAGTTCTATTTTTATTTCCTCTAGAGTGCACAAGCAGAGCTCCTTACTTTTTACTACTCCCTTTGAGAAATTTAGGGTTTGGTGTGGGTAGGTTTTTATTTCTATCTCTTGTAGTTTTTTTTTGTCTGATTAATGTGTCCATATATTTTTTTTTTCTACTTCTATTAGTATTGTTCCATTTTGTAATTTTTTAACCTTTTTTTGGTATTATGATATTTGATATTGATTTTTGTATTTTAAACGGAGAAATTTCTGATAATGATTTTTGGCTTATTGCTTCAAGTACAATAAACCGTGGGAAGTTCTCACTTTCATTCTCTGTTTCTGAGTCGTTATCCACATGTGGTCTCTTGAAGATTTCTTTTTTTCCATTGATTGTTTTTATTTTTGTTCATCATTCTCGCTCCCTACCCACCACGGAGTCCAGATTGGGACATGTCAAGGGGGGAAACCCATTCGCCTTGCCATGTCGGGGCTACGTGAATGATATACTCTTTTGGGAGGAGTCTTTGAGCACGCGTGTTCCTTTGTTTCGTTTTCCAAGTATTACGGCTGTGAAGGTTTAGCAAGTGTGTCAGATCCTTTTTCCCCCAAATTGATTGACCCTCAGCCACCGCCTTCCATCACATATTTAGGGTTAAGTGTTAGTTTTGGTTGGGAAGAGGAGTGTCAGTTATAGGTTTGGGTTGGATTATATATGATGGGGCTTGACATGACCAGCTGATTGATCGGATCGGGCCCCTCCGACCGCCCGTCTAGCCCAGGTAAGGGCCAAAGTGGTGTGTTACAGGATTGTGACCGCTTTACACCTGGGTTACAACCTGCTCAACCACCAGGATCCCGTCCTCAGACATTACGGGTCGCCACCCATGGCCAACAGGTGGCCCCATTGAGGGACTTTTACCCTCTGCAGGGGGGCAGTAGGCGTATTCTGATACCCCACCGACCGGGCGGTCAAGTGCAGGAATTGTCAGAATGAATACATTGGAGAAACCTCAAGAATTTTAAACAAAAATCTATATGAATACAAAAGGGATATTTTAAAATACTGACACACAAAACGCATTGGTTGCACACCATAACAAAAATGACCACAATTTTGACATAGGAATGCTACACTGATTAAAAGAGAAAATAATCCACAATGACAAAAATATTTGGAAAGTGAATTGCCTGCTAATTCAACCATGGTAAATTTGTGTCCAAGTTCTTACAATATATCACCATTCTTGGTAAATTTTCTATTGTTAAAATGTGGGATAGTCAGGGACAAAGGTGATAAAAAGAAAGAGTAGAGATGAATTTGATCAGATTGAAAAAAATATTCTTTATAAAGAAAAAATTAAAAAAAAAAAAATTCTTTCAAAAATGTTGAAACTACCAGTATCTCTTGTTTCATGCACATGTGTAGACAAGGTAACATCAACAAATCCCAGTCTGATGAAATTCTAATGGATGAAATGCATCACAAAGCTTTTTCCCAATTTTTCTAAATAACACAGCTTATACATATACACTGAAGACAGTTTTATATAAAATTTAATTAATTTTGTGTACATACAGATCCAGGTAATGATGCAAGTCATGTAATGCTTACATGGATTTTTAAGTGGTGAAATGAATATTTCATGTAAAAATAATGTTTTGTACTTTCTGTACGTGTGCAAAATATTGATAAATGCAAATGCTTTCTTTTTGCTACCCATATCGGTGTCTGCAGGACTGACATTTTGAATAATATCTTTACTGTGCACACAAACACCTGATAAGTAATCTACAAATGAAGGTGTTGCTGTAATGATTGCTAACAGAAAACTGGTGTTAATGTATGCTGCGTAGCTGGGCTTTGTGAAATTTTACATTTGTGACAAATGTCAGCAACTGAAAAAAAATTTGGGATAAAGGATATTCAACTCCTCTGTGTGTGTGTGTGTGTGTGTGTGTGTGTGTGTGTGTTATACAAGGACAAATGCTTTCATAGAAGGAATGCTCAAATTTGGTCTGCATGCTTGTTGGACACATGGAAGGATTTGACAAAAGTATTTTGTTCCTCATGAGGGGAAAGAAGTTCTCTTTATTATTTATTATTAATATTTTTATTTATGCCAAGAGGAAGCAATTTCACAAGCACCAGCAAAATATCTACAATGATTTTTCACCATAATTCAGGAGCTTTTCAATAGAAAACACATTTTTTATATATATATATATATATATATATATATATATATATATATATATATATATATATATATCTCTGCATCTCCAAAGACCTTTTGTATGGAGAGCTGGCCACTGAAAGGAGACCTGCCAGGCAGCCACAGGTGCATTACTGCGATGTAGTGAAACACAGCATGAAAGCTGTGGACATCAACACTGTCCTGGGAGAGCCTAGCAGCTGTACAATCCCAATGAAGAAGAACTCTGGCCAAACACTTCAAGTGAGGGGAGGAGAAGCTGACACAAGTCACCACAGAAACGCGGGCCGGCAGAAAACAAAGTGACAGCACCAACAGACCAGAGACAGGAAACACATGCGACCTCTGCAACAGAGATCGTCACTCTTGCATCGGCCTTTTTAACAGCTCAATGACTTTTATTTAATGTTGTTCTACAACAGCTTTAACCATAAAAAATTGAAAATATAATACGAGTTCCTTTTAAGTCCTTGGTAATCTAAAAAATTTAAGATAAATATTCTTCATAATCTAATTTTTTATTGAATTTTAAAGAATTTTGCTTTAAAATTACTATATTTACCGCTTTTATTTTCTGATATTGTGTATGATTTGCTGTATCTACACATGCAAAAACAATACAAAATTCTGTTTAAAAATATTTAGGGGTCATCAGAGTATAAAGGTTATGATATATAATTAGTAAATATAGTTTTACTTAAGAACAATATTCCCTAACAGTAACATTATTGAAACTGAATTTTAAAAGATTTAAAATTCTATAAATTATTCAAATTTATTAAAATTTAAAAAAATATGTAAACAAATCTTTTGCAAAAATTCATTTTTCATTGAAAATTTTTTTATTAACACAATATTGTTCTTAATATATATTATACATAAAAGCAATTAAAAGCTTTTCTAATTAAATAATGTTTTAGTTTTATTGCCTATTTTATTTTACAATCCCAAGCAGATTTTCAGTAAGATGGGGGGGGGGGGGGGTCCAAATTTAAAAAGAAAATTGATGATTTAAATTCTGCAAAGAGTTCTGCTTTTAACTTAATATAGTCACTAAAAATTATCCCATTGAATTTTTTGAGTTTTCATAAAATTAAGTAAGTAGGGATGAAACACATGTAAAAGAAAATATATATTTTTACCAAAGTTTTTCTAAAATAATTTAATTCATTTTTTATGTCTTGAAAATTTCATCAAAATCTGACAATTATTTGATTTTTGCAATAATTTCCAAATCAATGTATCTTTCAAGAAAAAAAAGATGCTAAAATTTGCTATGCTAATTTATAGTCCAGTTGTGGACACACACACAAAATTTTTTTTTTTTTTTAAAATCAAAATTCCAAATATTATAAAAAGGATTAAAAAATTTAATTTAAAAAAATACTTTTATTTTTCCTTTTAATAATAAAGATTTTTATGAGAAAACTTATTTTTTCATTATAATATGCTATTCCTTTTTGTTTTTTTTTCTTCCAAATTTGTGGTGAGATTATATATATATATATTATATATATATATAAATAATCTCCCAGTGTTCCTTGTTTAGTATTGGGTTTCCAGTTCCTTCTCTAAAAGTCTCCTCATTTTCTTTCACCCTCAGTGTGTATTTTTGTTACATAACTGAAGGAAATAATTATCTTGGTGTATAGGAGTACTTCAATTAGTGTACTTCTAAATAAATTAAGTGTAAGTATGCATGCGAATGCTACCCAAGTTTCAGATGGTACCACTTATGCCCTAATTTGGAATTATATGACAGTTCCAAGCCTTCATCACTTAACCCTCATTAACAAATACTTCACTTAGATGATATGATTTTACTTATGATCTCTTATTTGTTTCTTTTCAAAAGAATCTCATATTTAGATGTTGGCTTATATTTACATTTCTTGAAATCATACTTTTTATAATGAAGAGAATACGTAATTGTTTTATTGATCAGCAAAAATTGAAAAAAAAAAACTCATTTTTCTTACCCGAGACTGTTCGTAGTGATGAGAGATCAAATAATTTGCCATCCTGACTGACACTACAACCATGTAGGACAGGATGATCAGTACAGGCATATTTTGTATCCCAATCAAAATAGTAACTGCAGTCAACATCTGTTCGGAAAACTGGGGAGCCTTTACCATCATTGGCTGCAATGGAAATTTAATGAAAATGAAGTTAAAAAAAAAAAATTTATTGTTGTTTTTAGTTTTACAAATCACAAAAAGCAACAGCTCTTCACTAAGTAATTAAATCTAATTGCCTATTACAACATGAGTTTTTGTTAACCAGTCAAACTAAGAATAAGCAAGACAACTTTAAAAATGTCAAACTTCTCTTCCTATATTTGTCTCTATTTCTGAGATGAGGTATTGTAATTATTTACACTATGTTGTTCGAACTGTTGTCCTCATCTTTGTTGCCATATTCATGATGTTTTGACCGTTGTATGCTCCAGCCTTCTTCAGGTGATTGAAATTTCAAACTGAATACTTTATTTCGGCCACCAAGGTAGATTGTTCTAATTCCACGTGCTATGCTTCTTCTGGATGTTCAGTATAAATTATCTCTAACTCAACTCAGGTATTGAACTCACAACTCTTTGGGTCAAGTCACTGTATTCAACTAACACTTTTATCCATTGAGCCATGTGTCCTTGAGGACTTCAGTGTATGAATTTTTGGGACTTATAAACCTAATGTCTCAGTAACGATTTTTAACAGAATTCATATTACAATTTTGTTCGTTATTATGGTTTTTCTCTCGCACTCTGTATTACTGGTACCCATATTGTATTGATGTCTATGCTTGGCTGGCTACTATTTGAAAACAAAATCTTCATTTATAAAGAAAAAAAAATTATCTTGTCCATTAAACAATTTCAAAGTCATAAAAAAGAAATTAAATTAACTTTGTCAAATATGCTTGGAAGTAATTAATATTTGATTAACACACAAAAAAATCACCTTTAACATTTTAATATTTATTCTATATTCAAGATTTCAATATTCTATGAAAACATCATCACTAGTAGTGATTGTAATAGCTTATTTATAGAAGTACATACATAAATAATAAATAGCATAAAATGGATTGGCTTCCTGGTCCCTTCTAAAATTTTCTTATTCTCTTTCACTCCCAGTAGCCCCTTGCGTCTTAGTGGAATTATCACCTTGCTTGGGAGGAATTGATTTAAAAATAAATAAATAAATAAATCCCCAAAATCTTCAGATTTTCATAATTTCTGGGCAACTATCAGGTACTGTCAGCTACATGACAGGCCTAGCAAGTTACCAATAGATACAATCTCATTACTTATACTAATAGAAGATCTTGATATATGGAGGTGCTTTATGACTGACAAATTGTAAGACCTGACTGGAGTTGGGTGTGCATGTGAAAGTAATAATGTAAATGCTAGCTTCTAAGAATTTTTCATTTTTAGTCAATTAATATCGGCTATTAGTCAAATAATTTAATCAATTAGTTAAAAGTTCAATTCAAATCTCATTTCAATTAACCATAAAAATTAGATATATTTAAAAGATAAAAGACATATACTATAGAATTAAAATCAATCACTGAACTAAAGAATAACATTTTTAAGCAATACTTTTCATGTGTTAAACAAAAAAAAAAAAAAAAAAAGAAAAGAAAAAAAAGTTTGTCACTTTAACCTTTTGAACCCTGACCCACTGTCGAGTACAATATATGCAGTTTCATACAGCTACTGGCATACCAGCCATTCAGGTTCAAAGGGTTAATGAATGCTTATGTTCTTACAAAAGTAAATTTTGACAAATGAAAAGTAGTTTAATTTTCTTTTTTTTTTTTTTTTACAAAGATTTCCATGAAATCAAAAACTATGTATAGAACTGAATGAACACCGATAAAAACATTGACAAAATCTGAATCTTAATTTAAATATAGACATATAATGGATTAAAAAGAAACAGATTTGCATGGCATTAAGAAAACACACACAAATCATCTGTGCCTACAATTATTAATGGCCCATCAGACAAGCACTTTGTAATGAATCCTGCCTGAAACTTCACGCTAGATAACCAGAGTGTCATCCTGTACCTGACTACTGTACCACTTACAGAACAAAAGCTTTGTGATCTCCAATCTCAGTTTACAAAGGTTCCATACTCATACTTTTCACTTGTGAAATTTGCTCCTGGTTTCTTGCTTTTCTGTCAAGTATGATTTTCAAAAAATTATAAATGCAATTTCAATCATCATCTGCAGTCACCTCAAAACCTGGTCATTTATTGTCTTCTTTCTCTTTCTCTCTACACAATAACATCTTCTCAATGTCTTTCACTCTCTAATAATCAAAAACCCTGATTTTTTTGAAAGCTACTAGCCTAGATAAAATCCCTGTTGCTGTTCATAAAGAAGCTTAGTTCTGAGCTATCTTCAATCTTGGCAAAGTTTCACAAGTCTGTAGAAAATGTCAGCTGTTTGCCCTATTTTCAAGAATGCTGGTAAGTGTTCATCCTGTCACAATATCGATCCATCAGTCTTCTTAGTATCATCAGCAAACCTTTTGAACATATTATTAACAATCTTATTGATCACAACAGAAATAATATCCTGTGCAACAAACAGTATGTATTTCACTCCTCTAAATCCACTGCTGATGTTTTAAAAGTCATTACATACACACAGAATCAATTAATGGTAGTTTCATCATGTGAGTGATTGCCTTAGATATATCAAAGGCATTTGACAAGGTATAGTATATAGAGTTGCTAAAAATCCAGTTGTGGCACCTCTGGAAGAGACTATGCAGTTATCAAGTCTTTTCTCTTAGGGAGGTTCATGAAACTCACAATGAATGATTTGTCTTCTGAAGCTAATAAGATCAATGCAGGCATCACTCAAAGCTCTTTCCTGAGTCCTATGCTCTTTATTAGTGATCCACCTGTTTGTTGATAGAATGATCACTGACGACTCTGTAAGAGTGTGTTTAACAAGAGTAAATCCACAATCCCACCTTTCTTTAATCAGTTTAAAGTGTTGTCATCTACTGCTGATAAAGCAGAATGCTTTGCTTGTAAATTCTCTTCCAATTGGCTTGTGAATTTTGTGTCTCTAAAGTAAAACTGCTGTCTTTTAGTCATCTTACAGAGTCTCCAGATTGTTGATGTTAACCTCCAAAAGAGCATCTCATTGTGACTTTTCAGTCTCACATTTATCACTGACATGAAGTAGAAGAATTATATTGAATCAATTGCTAGGTCTGCTGCTAGGAAAGTTGGTTCATTGTATCATGTCAGACAGTTTTTCTTGATAGAATCCATTTTGCATGTTGAGAAATCTACCATTTGTCTGTGCATATTGCTGCCACATCTGGTACAGTGCTCCTGCTATACATCTCAAAATTCTTGAAAAAAATCAAAAGAGTCTGCAATATTATCAGTCCTGACCTGACATCTTGACTTTATTCACTTCTCACTGCTTCTGTTGCTTATATAAATATTTTCATGGCAATTGTTCCAATGAGCTTTCCTTCTTGGTACCATGACCACATGAATTTAAAAATACTACTAGATTGGCAAATAGGTTTCATTGTTTTACTGTATGTCCTATTCTAATAATTTTTCTTGGACTTTAAATGCAACATCAATCACCATCTTCCGTCTCCCTGAATCTTGTTCTTTTATTGGCATTTCTCCTCACTAACTTTTTCTTTCACTCAATAACCCTGTGTATATTAGTGGCATTAATGCTTTGCTGGGTTGAAAGGATTAAAAAAAGAAAGAAAAATTCCTCATAACCTTTAATTTATATTTCACAGCTCTTTCAGTAACTCTCTACCTTTTATTAGGTGCACATTCAAAAATAAATAAAAATAAATAAAAGTGGCTCATACCAGCAGATTTGTTACAATGGAACTCAATGAATGTAACACGTTGGAAGTTTGATGAACATGGTTGCCCTCCTTTATAAATCAACATTAAATGGCCATCACTGTATCTAAGTGAGACAGAAAAAAAAAGAAGGAGATTAAATAGAAATTACCAATCTAAAGCAAACATAGAAATTATGAAATTTGAGAGAGAAAAAAAAGAGAGGGAGGAGAGAAAGATAGTGGGAAGAGAATATGTGGACATATTTAAAATATTAAGTTAAACAAGGAAAAATGAAGAAAAACTTTTTTTGATAAGTTGACCAGTTTTGCTCCTTTTATATCCAAAACTCTGTTGAGAATAAAATAAAAAAAATAGGTACCAATTAAAGAGAGCACAAATACAAACAATAATATACTATTGAAAACATATTAGACGCAAAGAACATTAAGACCAATTTGCCATTTCTTCTGTTTACACAGAGAGACAATTTTCATTAAACCAAAGCAGCCTTCTCTGTGTAGACAAAAGGAATGGCTGCTTCATCTTAATGTGATCTGTTTGCAGATATTAAAATACTAAACACAGAATAATGGTGTCTTAGTTTTTTTCCATTATTTTTTTAATATGTACATTTACTATTTTATTCCTCAATTGAGTTCTGACATGTGAGGAGTGACAACTGGTAAACTCCAATTTTTTTTCTTTATCTTTTGTATTAAATGTCATTCATTTTTCTTTCTCTTGTGTTAGACACAATCATTAAAATAACTTAAAATATCAATAGATAATGTCAGTTTTAACAAGGAAATACTCATTATGTTAGATTTTAAAATTTTATTATGCAAACAATTTCTGAATTAAAAAAAAGCAAAAAAAAAAAAAAGCAGTATTATTTCTTCTCAAGTAGAGATGTAAGTATTTTTAAACAGTTCTACATCAGATTGTTACTTACCGAAGGGTTGACTTGGAAAAACTTCCAAGATACTTTATCTGATTTCCTTTCACCTGGCAAATTGCTGGATTGAAATTCTCAAATTCTGATCCATAACAGTAGTTAGGTGATGATTCAACAAGGCTAAAATAGTAGGTATATTTTGATTTGTCTGGATCAGTAGCAGCCACTGAATAAGGCTTGGCTAGATAAAAAGAAAAAAGAGCAACATTTTTTTTATGGAAAAGCAATGTTATACTTAACAGAGAAAAAAATAAACTGAGGAAAAAAGAAAAAAAAACATTCAGAAAATGAATATAAAAATTAGAAACAAAAATCAGGCAACGAGAGAGGGAGTGCACATGCCAGGCAACAAGAACGGGAATGCACAAAACAGGCAATGAGACAGAAGTGGAGAAGATTTAACAATAATAATGTGTAAGAACCAAATGCTTACTCTTTGGGGGTACAAGTGGTGTAAGATCAATGTCTATGTCATTTTCTGGATCTCTAAATTTTAGTGAGTGTGGTTTATTGATATTTGTTTCATCGCAGGCATATTCTGTTAACCACTCAATGTCAAAATTGCAAATTACTTCATGGATGATGATAGGGTACTTGCTCTGAAAAGAGATTCAATAGAAATGATTTAACAACAAAGTTCAAACATTTGTTTAAGAACTCTTATTACTGCTATATAAAGAGATTAAAAAGAATTATGAACATGTTCTTGATAGTAATCAATATAGAAAGGCTAACATGAAAACTATTTATAAGATAAATTTAGTTCTTAATTAAAAAAGAAAATGGTACTGACTTTGACATTGAAAAAACTAGAATCAGTTGAAGTGTTGTTAAATTCAATAAAACTAACCTGAAATTTTAGAAACTGAATGCATCCTAAGTGAAATTATATACAGGCAACCCTTGATTAATGTAGTAAAATTTTTATATACTAACATTTGATTAGTGCATACATATTACTTGATTTATGTGGTAAAAGATTCTTCAGTTTAACAGTTAGTAATTGAAAAAAATTTTTTTTTTTTTTTTACAGCTACCGATGTACAAATTAGCTGAACTAATCAAGGTTCAAGAGAGAACGTGAGAAGGAGGGCGAGAGAATGCAGGAAGGAGGGAGGGAGGGAGAACGCGAGAGGGAGGGAGGGAGAACATTTTTTTGTATTGAATTACAAAACAAAATGGAATTGCTTCATTTTTCCTCCAAGTATAAAATATTTCAATAATAAATTACCTATAATGTTACTTGGACAATTTGAAAGTAATTTACATGTCAAATCTCAGTAACTTAAATTCTCAAAATATGAACCTAACTAAAATCTTTTATCTTTTGTTAAATTTTAAGTTAATTGACTCTTGTGTACATTCAAGTAAAATAAAATTAAAAATGGGAAAATTTTTTAGGATTTCTTTGAGAAAAAACAATTCAGTTGGATGTTAAAAATTATAAAGTGATTTATTAATTTGACTAATATGTATACTACTCTCTGATAAGACAGACAAACAAAACTTCAAAGACAGATCACTGTCTAATTGGTATTGCAGTCATAATGAAGTCCATCACTTGTTAAGTCTAGTGACCAAATGATCAGTCTTTCAAAATTACAATTTATATTATATTAACCAACTGATGCATACCACAACGGTTGCAGCAGTAGTAGTACTAGTCAGTATAGCATACTACTATAATAAATTATGTTCAAAGTTATGTTTAAAATTCTGTTTTGTATTGCTAACCAATGTCTATTGCCATGTGTTAAAATATTAATTTCATTACTATCATTTGTTGTTGTAGCACAGTTTACTTTGTGTGTAATTTGTTGTGCTAGTTAGACACCTTGTCACAAAAATGTATCACTTCATTTATTTGCCAAGAAAGAAATATACTGTAATTCAAGTTTAAAAACAAATAAAAACCCTAAATGAAAAGCAAGCTATATTTTAATAAAATGCAGGTAAAATATTATTGACTTGCACAAGAAATTTGTTCACTGCAAGTTCAACTGTATTATGGATAATGTTGAAGCCTTGTACTATAAGAAGTTCTTTTATTCAGAGTCCCTACAGTCAAATCATGCTGAAAAACACCAGTTCTCATTTGATCACCAAACCCGGTCAGTACTGAGATGAGTGACCACTTGTGAACATCAGTTACTGTAAGGAATGTCATACAATTAGAAAAACATTTTTGTAATGTTCCATCATCAACAAGTAACCATGAACTTCCATCTATCACAATGAACAGGTGGTCTCTCAAGGAGACCCTGTGCCTTGAACACCTATTGGAACTTAAGCTCACCCAAGACATCAAGTGAAATTTATATACATGATCCATCACTAAAAATGCAGGAAAAATGGTCAGTTGCCTGTACCGTTACAGTAAATACCAGACAACTTCTATGTGCTAACTTTACAAGAGACAATTCAAGCCAACAATGGAGAACTGCTGCCATATTCTGGATTAGTGTTGTCCAGTCTTCACTTTCCAGCCTATATGGCCTTGTGAGTGATGAAATATTTTCCATTATACAACCCCTTTCTCACAGATGAAATGTTGCAAGCCCCTCTCTAGTTTGTTGCTATTTCCCCCAAATCTAACCCTCTCAGCTAAGACCCACTACACTGTGTATATTGAGGCAAACCACCTTCTTTCCATTCATATTCCTTTAGTAGAGAGTAACTTTCATTTGGATAGCTCCTTCCTAAGAACTGGTGCTTTGTGGAACAGAATTCCAAGGGAATGCTTTTTCAACCACGACAATCTTAAACTCTTCAAGTCTAGGGTTAATTGTTATCTTCCCCCATGTATCCACATAAACTGCCCCCTTTATGCTTACCGTAATGCATATTCAGTAGACCTCTACCTTGAGTGCCTCTTGAGCATTGTATAGAGTGAACATTAATTAAAAAAAAAAGCTTTAACCCTTTGAGCCCTGATCACTGCTTTACTAGTGGCAGAGAAAAATGACATAATGCTTAGCCACCAGTTGAATGGTGGGTTAACACTTGTAACTATTTTTATATCTACCATGAAACATTACATACCAATTATTTGTGAATTTTGACTCTGAAGCTCGGGCAGAAGGATTAAAATTGTTCAGGAACACTGGGCTCATAGGGTTAAATAACTCAGTGTTGATAATTTTTATGCATATCTAATTTGCAATAAAGTGCATTTTCAGAGAGGAGAGAGAGGGGGCGGGAGATAGAGAGAGAAGGGGGCAGGAGAAAGAACTAGCATTTCCACATGAATTAGGTTGGATGAACAGATAGAATAAAATCTTACCCCTCCACGCTTAGGACAAATGAGATTAATAACAGTTTGTGGAATATTGGAACAGGATTCTAGTTTTACAGGGGCCTCATACTTTATTTCCAGTGATCGGGTGTCTTTGGCTCTAAGACCAGTCTTTGGTTCTCCCAGGTTAACCAGTGTGTTAGAGATATTGGCACAAATAGCAGCACCATTTGGACAAGGGTTATCTGCAAGAAATTCATTAAAACATTTTAAAAATATGTAAGCAGAGTATTTTATTAAATAGTAACATCTCAACACAAATCTGGCTATCTGATTGCCAGATATACAAACAGAAGTTTTTGACCAAAAGCAATAGATAATACATTCTTTGAATTAGAAAATGAATTCATTTGTAGAATTTATTTTAATACACACCTCTTCAAAATTTTGTGTGTAGTGAGACTACCATTTGACCTGAGGTCAAGAAGTAGAGATATTGCTGATGACTTCATTTGAAACCCCTTTGGAGATTAGTGAATTGTCTTAAACATGTGCATTGTGCAATTACCCAGAATTAGACCAACAAAAGATGGCCAAAAGTTCTCCTATGTGCCATGTCCTTTCAGAATGTTAGCAATCATGGCTCTCCCCAACTTCATGTCCTTTTTAGCTCTCAGTAATTTTTGTCTTATCTTACATTCCTTTTCTTTGCATATTTACTGAACTCATTCTATATATTCAGGTGGTTTGATGCCAGTGTAGGTTCTAGATTATTCTAATATCCTTCCCAAATATTTTGGGGTTAACTAGCATTTCCAACAGTTCTTTGTGATATACTCTATGAATGGAGGTTAGTCTCAGCTTTCCAACAGAGATTTTTGCTTACAGACATTGAGCAAACTTTTTTTGAATGATGCTGCAGTCAGATTTGTGCAAAAAAATGTCCTGTATGTTAAACCGTATGTTCTTTAGTATTAATATTCATTTTCCTATGGCATAAATATATGCAAATGTACAGTGTAGCATTTGCTGGCAATATTTTTTGATTTTATTGTTTTGGACATAAACAACAGTACATGGATAGCAAAAGCAGAAAGAATCCATATCATGCACATGCACACACACTTGTACTTCATGATATAGTCCACTGTTTTTTTTTTTCTTTGAGAAGATATTTATATTTAAATGAGTTAAAATGACATAACTGATTTCTAAAGTTGACAAATTGTTGGAGCATGGATGGCTTGTGCTTTAGTCACTAAAACTAATGAATAATTTAATATCTGGAGAGGGTACAGTTTATAAACTCATGCTGGCATTCCAAAACCAAGGTAAAACTAGGCCTGGCGAGCATCATTCTACATGGAAGACTAAGCTCAGAGAGGGAGAAAGAGGGACCCCAAAAATAGTAAAATTGGTTGTGTCCAAAAACCAAATGACAGTCAACTAAAACTATTCAGTGCAAGCTCCATAAAATTGGAATGCAATTGCTAAACTGCTCATGCTCCTCCATCAACAATGATAAATGGAAAGAATGGGGTTTAGATTATTAGAAAAATGGTGAAGGGGTCATTGTCATCATTGATGAATGATCATTTACTCCCCCCACCCCACTTCAGAGTCAGTTTAAGTCTGGAGACAGCTCAAAGAAGACTTTTACTTGGACAGTTTGGCCACTATCATAAAGCATGGATGGGGCAATACAATGATTTGGGTAGCCATATCATAGAATTCTTTTAACACTTCAGTTGTTCAACATGGCAGATTTAACATTAAGAATTATCAGAGTATTTTGGCAGATCATGCACATATGACACTACAAATATTGCTCCCTGATGGTGGCATAATCTTCCAGGATGATGATGCACAGACTCACAAAGTCAATGTTATTCTAAATTTGTACAATAAATGGTAACACACTTATCACATACAAGAAAATTAAAAACAACAATCGGATTCCCCTGGTTTTTAACCACAATCAGTATTCCCACACACTTATTCACAATTTAAAAAAGGATTACAAGAACCTCCAGTTAGACAAAAAGATCAAAGACATTTTCAATAAACCACCCATAAATGCAAACAAAATGTAACAAACCTCGTTGCTTAGTTTGCAAACACTTAATAATAGATAATGTATTTTCTGTACCCAACACCAATATCAAGATACACCCACCTCACCTGTGATAGCCATAACATAATCTATTTATTCTGCACCTTATGTCCTAATAGTGGATATATTGGTGAATCTGGAAATAATTTTAGATTTCGCTTCAACAATCATAAACAAACCATGTCAAAACAATCCTTATTCCCCCATAGCTGAACACATTAATCAATCAGGACACTCGTTAGAAAACTGTAACTGTTTGATAGATTCCGATTTCAGTTCCACATACACACGCAGAAAAAAAGAAAAAATACTGGGTTTTAAAATTAAATACATATAAACTAGGGTTAAATGAAGACTTGGGTATTTTAAATCTTTATAAATATTTCAATAGTTAAACATTTTTTTAGATATAGTTAAAAAATTTTTTATTTTTTTAAACAACATCTAAAATATTATTACAATTAGATTTATGTTAGGAATATTTGAACACAGTAGTGTTCCATATCACGTGACGTCTGCATCTCGCGCTGGACGCTACTTGTAAACAAACAGCTATTTCTGAAGGAAGATTGAGGTCAATTTGAAATATCAAATATATATATATATATATATATATATATACACACACAAATAATGTATCTTAGCATAGTAATCTTATAAACTTATTCATTAGTTAGTTCCATACAAGGTACTTTATGAATGTAGCATTGTCTAATTCAGCATTGTCTAAGGAAAAAAAAAAAAAAAAAAAGAAGCAGATATAGCTTTATATTAGTCTTAAGACATTTCGAAAATATAAATAAAATTAGCAATACATAGAATTAAAGTAAACAGACAATTTAGATTATAGAGGAAATTTTTTAGAGAAATACTTTTGAAGTTTAAAAGTATAGCTTATATAAAAAAATAATAATTGCAAAACAAAGTCTCTATGGAAGGAAATCTGTACAAGTGATCTAAAATAAGGACAGGTTAATTTTTAAAGAAATTATGTAAATTGAATATGATGATTTTAGAATACATTCCTACATGCAAAATATTAAATACGCCATCTGTTTAAAAGAGGATAGTAGCCCAGATTAGTTGAAGGTCAAAATTGTATTACTGGTAATAATTTCTATCTTGCACTCCCCACCTGAATTCAAATCTTATTTAAATGTAATTTTGAAATCTACAAAATGCAAACTGTGTTATGCAAAACTATCAGTACATAATTTTTTTTGGAATTTCAGTTTCCACAAATTTCAATTATGGTGTTATAAAATTTGCATTTTTTGTAAATCAGGGACAAATAAACAATCAGTTTGCAGTAGAATCTTTCTTCATCTTACAAAGGAAAATGAAAAGTGTCATGACAAAATACTCACCTGAGCTAATATCACGACAAAGATTCATATAAATATCCACATTAGATGGGCTTTTTAGTTTGTAGGCACCACTTAACTTTATCAATGGGGTGAGGTCCCTCTTCTTGCCTTGAATGTAGACATAACATGGCACTTCTTTGACAGGTTTTGAAAGATGTTTGCATGCTACAATTGATTCCCATTCAAAGACAGTTGAACAACCATCATTATTTAAGAACTCGGGTGAACCCTATAAATACAAAAGAGGGAAAGAAAAAAACATGTTATCAGAACAAATCTTAACATTCACAAAAAATGTGAACAGAAAAATCTAAAATTTATCACATTACACAATGTTAAATAAATTAAGCAGGAAAGTCAAAACACTATTAGTAAGAATAATAATGAAAAACAAAACAACCCCCCCCCCAAAAAAAAACCCCAACTCATCCAATATTTAATAACTGATCATAAAGGAGAGAGGTTATTTTAATATTTGTTCAGATCAGTCTACAGAGGGAAGTTTAGATATCCTGAACACATAATGGGGAACTAAAAACAAGTGAAATTCTTTTTAAAAAGTTTTCATTAGGTTTTCCCAATTTTAAAATTTTCATCTCCTTCAAAGTCCTCTCCTTTTTGACAACGCACTTATCTAAACATTTCTCTCCCCCAAATCCAGGAGGCATTTCTTGAATTTTGATCAAAGTTTCAAACATATTTTTTTTTGTTTCATATTGTTGATCTCAATTATACATTTTCTTTTCGGGTCAATTTTCCTGCGACAGAACAAAGGCATGTAGAGTGAGTTTAGATAGATAGCAGACAACTGCAGTGTTGTCCTTAGCCAGAAACTGTTTCATGCTCAAGGTCATTGTGGTGATGAAAGTTCTAATCCATACTACTCTACATTTCTATATCATTTTTGTGCATGCACACACACTCACACACATGCAATATTCTCACTATCTTCAAATGGAACTTCTGACTGGATAAATTCTTTATGCAGGATCCTATTGTGATGACATTGGTAGTGATCTACTCAAACAGGATGTGTAGTGCTCAAGGAGTAATTGAAAAAAGTTAAATGTAGAAAGGTTCAGTTTTATGATATAGAACGAAATAAAAACATAAGAGGACTTGATTGAATTAAATGAGTATTGAAATTAAAAATGGAAAAAATAAAGAAAATGTAGAAAATAAGACATGGGCGTGTTGAAGCTGGGGGAAACACTTAACAGATCGTTCTCTTAACAATTAAGTGGATAACAGGGAGAGAGATGGGAAGAAATAAAAAAAAACTGAATAATTACGCATGAGGCTACTTTCTCAAAAACCACAGCATGGAAGGTGGTACTGACTTCACAAGACACTAAATTTCCAATAAGAGCAAACTGAGACTCACCAAAAGCAGGCTCTACTGACTACTGGTTTTCCTATTGCTTTTTTTGACATGAGAGGGTTGACAAAAATCCAGATCTGCACAAGTTGCAGAGAAGCCAATATTTGAATATGCCAAGCTGATCTGTTGCTAATGGAGAAACCTAGAGGAGACTGACATTGACAGTCATTTTTGCACACAATTCAGGGTCTCTTTTGCATCTCTACTGATACACATTAGCCACAGAAAAATTGTTGTTCAAGAAATTCAATGAGCTGAGGGGTTCTTGAATTTTAATTTTAAATAGGAGAGGACTTAAATAACTTGTACAACACTGTACATTCCCCACATTTGCAAAGTTGAGTAAAAATAATAAGCTTCCTTGGCCAAAATCAAAATGTATCTCTAAAAATCCATGAGATTAAGTTGTTTATATAAAGACCTATCCATTAGATTGATGTAGTTTGTTAAGTACAATAATTTCAGCAAAAACATTTCCCCTAAAACTCTCAAAGGTACCTAACAGACTGGTTATTTGTTCCTATTCACCAATGGTAAATAGGAAGAATAGCTTTTAGGAATTATTTTATCAGAACTGTCAGGATTTGAGAGTCATGTGCTTTCTGTGAAAAAGAAAGAAAAAAAAGAAAAAGGAGAGGGTGGCAAATTGATAGACAAATCATACCAATACATTATTATTATTATTTTTGTTAACATTTGCTAGCATTAACACCAAGATAACCTAATTATCTCAGATTACCAATTTCATGATGACATGACAAAGTTTTTTAAGATTTTAGCCATTTAAGTTAGTTGAAAGTCAACTAGATTATGGTTGCTCTCCAAGCAACATCTCACCATAATTAAAACTTGAATGCCACTCATACACTTGTTTCTTAACTAATGATACTTCTTTAAAAGCTTCTTGAAACAAACAGTTACAGCAGCAGCTTAAAGAATTTTTTTTTTTTTTTTTTTTTTTTTACACAATCACTGTTCATTTTCTCTTTTAATTAGCCAATGCAAAAACCACCAAATGGGCTTATGGACACCAGAGTATGGCGTTCTTTAATTCAGGCCAAGTCATAGTGCAACTCATGGCATGATTATTAACTTTTGTTTCAGTTTAATTGTTTACTGGCAGCAGGACTATGGATATACATACTTTTAGTCAGACTTATAACATTGTTGTGCATAGCCTCAATGATGGAGTGAGCGAGTTACCTGGAGGATCGAATTGCACTTTTGTAATGTGATGAGAGAAGGTTTTGTTTTCAAGAAAGTGATAGTTGATTGTGTGTGTATTACAGACCCAAGGAGTGACATTTTTCAGACAGAGTATCTCCACCCACAACAAATGAACTTGGCACCCTGCTCTCACAGTGTGCAGTACCATGAGTTACAACATTCACTAACCTGTGCTGTTTGAAAAGGGAACACTGAACAGTGCCATGCATGTCCAGAACATTGTTCAATCCATTCTGTTGTCATTTCTAAAATTAGAAGGCAATGTGCTGCTCCAGCAGAATAATGCCCACCCACATTATACCCATGCTCTTCAAAATGTTCTTCACCATGTTCTTCAAGATGTTCAGCAATTTACCTGGCCAGTACAACTGACAGAGTTATTCCTCATTGAACACATACAGGACATCATGAGAGGACACCTGACTTTTTATCGATTGATTTGTTTTCTACAGCTTATCAACCCTTTGCAGGTTATTTAAAGCCAGAAGATATTTCTAGATTATAAGAATTTTTTGAGATAATGGTTTAGTGATACAAGTCTTACTAAATAACCCATAGCTTGAGGGGAGATGAAGTGGATTTATACCTTTCCCAAGGGTATTTGTGTGTAAGTGAATATAACGAAACCAACTGGAATTAAAAACTTGTCACTCAGATTAAAACTTTTGAGCCATTATGCATTATACCACCTGTGCATCCAAGCTTACAGCACCTGATATTCCCAAGTGGTCACCCATCTAGTTGCTGATCAGGTGCTCAATGAGAATTGTTCAGCTGGCCTATATACAACTCTTGTGAGATACATGATTGATATGTTTTTTATGGCTTATCATTCCTTTTGAAGCTAGAAAATGTTTTTAGACTGTAAGAATTTTTTGTGATATTAATGATTCACTGATATGAGTCCTACTAATTAAACCATAACTGGGGAAAGAGGTTGATTCATACCCTTTCCTAAGGATATTTGTACATAAGTGAATATAATGAATCCAACTGGTATTGAAACTCTGCTCTCCGATTTCCAATCACAAGCGATTATCCATTACACCACCCATATATCCAAGCTTATAACATCTGGTATTTCCAAGTGGTCAACCACATAGGTAGTGATCAAGATCTACATCACTTAACTTTGGTGATGATATGAGAACCAGTGTTTCAATATGATATGGCCATAGGTTTCTAGATACAAGAAGTATGGAATAATGTATCACAAAATGATATTTACCAAAGGTATGATGATATGTATACAAGAGTACAAGCCTGTGTTAACATCCAAAGTGGATATACTGTGTATTAATATGGGGTTTGAATTCTGTTGATACACACATCATTTTGGATCATGTGTACATTATGACATATAGTGTGTGTGTGTGTGTGTGTGTTTAAAATAGGATATAGAATTGACAAAGTATTTTAAAAATTTGACAAATGGAAAACGCTTTATTTAAAATAGATTTGATTATGCGTTGTGCCTTTGAAGACTTCATCAGATCCAAAAATGAAGGAAAGAAACATGTACGTGTCTTTGTGTGTATGCTTAAATAATTGAATCATAGTACGTTTTACCTAAGTTGGCATTTCTTGTGATTATAGAAGAAAATGAGTAACTTTTAAAAAAAAGCTGTTAATATTTATTCTATGTCATTTTGTTATAATTTTTATTTTATGGATCTGATGCAACCTTGAAAGGTGAAATGTGCAATCATATTATATATATATATATATATATATATATATATATATATATATATATATATATATGTGTGAGTGTGATCATTTACTGTAATACAGCTATATTATCTGCATGCTTAATCTTTAGTAAATTGAAAAGTCTAGGTTGCTACAATTTTGTTCTCTCTCCCACACCAGCCCAGAACAAGTGGGCAAGCCACTTGATTGTTTCATGATCAAAATTTTATACAATTACATACCTGGAACTAAACACTGGCTGTCACTATTTGCATTTATCACAGATAAGGTACTCTGCACCAGTCTGCTATTGAATAGACACTGTATACAGTCACTGGTATAATGGTTGTGAAGGTTCATAAGGTTGATTTTTAGTATTAGTCTATATTGAGATATGGCTGGCTGTACACTCACTGGCGTCCATCAGGATGGAAGTGGACATTAACTTTCTGCCATGTGTGAGTATAAATTCATTCTATCAGAGACGCATTCAAAAGCATCTCTCTCTCTCTCTCTCTATATATATATATATATATATATATATATATATATCCAACATTTATGTATTTACTTTATTTATCTATTTTTGTTTGGTCTCTCACCCCCCACTCTGTGCGACTAATTTAAATGATACTTATTCTAACCTAACTTATAACACTGTTTGTGTAGTTGGAAATCCTCCCTCCACCTCGAAAGAAGGGAAAAATGTCTCTTCACCAGGTGTTAGTATGTCTTCAGTATTCTTATGGTCCAGTGGCCTTGTCTTTTGCTTGATAAAATGTACTAACGTGGAACACTCACTGGTGACCATCAGAATGCATGCGGACTATCAATATCACCCACTGCCACAAGTGAGCTAGCATCTATGCCATATCCACAAAAAGGTGGATAATCATATTTTTTCATTTCTCTCTTTAGAATAGAACAATGGGACTTATACTAAGTTAAAACTTAGTGTTGTGTGATAAAATACTAATAAATTCCATCCTATCCCCCTGAACATATAACTAGTGTCAGCCTGGGCACTAAGTGAACTACTTCCCCGCCCTTATCCCTCTGTTTGACTTTTGTCATTGTTGTATGTGTTATATGTAATAGGAGTAGGTAGACTCTCCTACCGCCCGGTCAACACTCCTCCCCCTTCCCCTGGATATGAGCAGAGGCTCACACCTTGTTTCTTGTCTAAGAAGGGGTTCCCGGTACTCTCTCTCTCTGGCCTCTGTACTAGTGCTGATGTGTTTCTCCCGTGACATGTGCAGTCTGTGGCATTGCCTCTTCATTTTGAGGGTACACGGTTGACAGTTCACTGGTTGCCGTTTCTGACTGGTAGATAGGAGCCCTAACTCTTGCGTAGTGTCTTGAGCAGCCGCTCTGATCAACAGTTGTATCGGGGTGTTTGTAGTGCCATGACATGCATGGAAAGGTGTCCCTGCAATCACCTCCGGTGGGAAACCCTGAGGTCACATTATGATGCAGGCTGTGCCAACTCCTCTCTGCTCATGTTGCGTTCGAAAACCATCTACTTCTCTTACTTCAGGCCTTCTCATCTTTCAACAATTACTCCACATGAAGACTCAAATGAACCAAAAAAACCTAAACCAGCCCCTCAACATTTCATTTTCCAACATCCGTGGCATTAGAACAAATTTCTGCAGTATGGAATCTTTCCTCACAGCAAACTGCCCGGATATACTGGCTCTTGTGAGACAAAACTTGTCTCATCTATTCCCTCCTCTGAACTCTTGATCCCCGGCTACCTTCCTCTCCTCAGGAAAGACTGTAACCCACATGCACGGCCTTGTGTGTCCACATCAAGGACCATCTCCTCTGGCCAGAGAGTTGTCTCTAATCACCAGACCATTCAGCATGTGTCTCTGACTATCTCTCCTCAATGCCGTAAGCTATCTCTTCTTCCTCTATCGCTCTCCATCCTCTCAAGACTGTGGGATACTCGATAGCATGTCTGACAGCATAGACAAGGCCCTCTCTCATTTGCTCACATATTCGTGTTTGGTGACTTTAACGCACATCATACCAAGTGGCTCGAGAATGCTACTACTGACCGGGCTGGCATTCAAACACTTAATTTCTCAATCCCTCACGCAGATAGTTAACTTCCCCACGCGTTTTGCCCCCAACCTGGTAGGTAAGGCCTCCCTTCTTGATCTGTGTTTTACCTCCATCCCCGAATCTTGTAGTGCCACGCAGCTCTGCCCTCTTGGTAACTCCGATCATGGCGTAGTATCTGTTAACATTTCCTTCAACTCCACACCCCGCAAAGAACTGCCCATCACTAGTATCTCGTTCTACTATCAACGAGCGGATTGGGACTCGATTCATGACTTTCTCCGCGATGTCCCCTGGGATGTTGTCTTTACACTCCCTGTCCAAGAATGTGCTGCTGAGGTCTCATCCTGGGTTAAAGCTGGAATCGACGCTTTCATCCCCTCAAGGAAATTTAAGGTCAAGTCGCACTCCTCCCCTTGATTCTCCACTGCTTGCTCAGCTGCCATTGCTCATAGGAACCACTTCTTTCACATATTTTGTAGCAACATGTCGGACTGCAATAAACGTCTCTTTGCCTCCACCTGTAACAAGTGTAAGCGTGTCCACAACGAAGCTAAGACAATATTTGCTGCTCGGTTGAAGGAGCGTATTGCATCTTGCAAATTTAGCTCCAAAGATTATTGGCGGCTCTGCAAGAGTGTCCTGAACTATAGAAAACCCTCCATACCTCCTTTATTCAACCAGTTCGAGGTCTTGACCTCCTCTACCGACGAGGCTGAATGCTCTGCTCGGAAATTCTCATTTAATTCAATGCTCGACTCCTCCGGTGTGCCCATACCAGACTTCCCTCTAAGATCTAAGGCCCTATTGAGCGGCTTACACATAACCCCGTCATTGGTACTGGGCATTATCTCCAATTTAGACCCCCACAAGGCTAGTGGTGGAGATGGCATACCAGCCATTGTCTTGAAGAAATGCGCGCCTGAGCTAGCGCCCGCCCTCTCTAAACTGTATAATTACTGCCTCAAGGAATCCCGTTTTCTTGACTGCTGGAAGTCCTCATCCATTGTTCCTGTCTTTAAGAACTCTGGAGACCCCTCTGACTCCTCTAATTACCGTCCTATTAGTCTCCTACCCCTCTTTGGCAAAGTCTTCGAAGCCCTAATCAATGCCGAAGTGGTTAACCATCTTACATCCCATGATCTGCTCTCAGACAAGCAATATGGTTTCCGCTACGCCCGATCTACAGCTGATGTGCTTACGGCCATCACTGAAACCGTCTACCAAGCCCTTCAAAATAACGGTGAGGCTTGTGCCGTGGCCCTAGACATCTCCAAAGCGTTTGATAGGGTTTGGCATGCCAGCCTTCTTCGTAAGCTCCAGGGTTATGGTATTACAGGTTGATTGTTTGATCTAATACAATCATTCCTGTCAAACCGTGAATTGAAGGTCGTTCTCAATGGATTCTCCTCCAGTTCCTATCCCACGAACGCAGGTGGTTCCCAAGGTTCCATCCTTGGCCCCACTCTATTCCTTATTTTCATCAACGACCTTCCTGACGACATAGATTCCCAAGTTGGCATCTACGCGGATGACACTACAATTTACTCCTGTCTCAAAAATAAATCTAGTGTCGGTGACAAAACTAACCTGGACATGCGTCTTGAAATGGACCTCCAATCAGTTGTTAATTGGGGCAAGAATTGGCTGGTCAACTTTAACGCCTCAAAAACTAAACTACTCTCTATTAATCACCATAGAGATCCTTCCCTGCCCACCATTAGAATGTCTGATAGTCAACTTCTTGAGAGCAACTCCCTGTGTCTGCTCGGTCTCACATTGACTGCTGACCCGAGATAGAACAAGTACATTGTTCAAGTACAATTGCTTTGTCCACCGCGAGGAAAGTTGGCTCTCTGTGCCGCGCCAGGAAATTTTTCTCCCCGGAATCGATACTTCAAATATACAAATCAACCATTCGCCCTTGCATGGAGTATTGCTGCCATATGTAATATAATTGGCCCTGATCTGGCGTCTCGTCTACAGTTACTCTCTCACAGACGCGCCGTCGCCTCTGTCCTTTCTACAAATACTTTCATGGTAATTGCTCCGATGAGCTGCTTTCACTGGTCCCCATACTCCATGAATTCAAGCGCCCTACGAGGCTGGCATCCCACCCTTATACCGTAGAAACTTTTAAATGTAGCCGTCTCTTCTACTCCAATAGCTTCATACCTCGCACCTCTCGCCTGTGGAACACCCTTCCCAATTACTGTTTCCCTGAGAGCTATAATCTCCAACTATTCAAATGTAATGTCAATCAACACCTCCAGTTACCTTGATCTACCCACTATCCTTCTCCTCATCCTTTCTTCTATCTCTCCTATCTGCTCTCGCTCCAAATCTTCTGCAACCCCCTGCATCCTAGTGGCTTCATGCCTTGCTTGGGGCGTAATGCTTAAAAAAAAAATATTGTTCATTCAACTTTTCTAAACTATTAAACTAGTTTGACTGACAATTCTGAAGCAAACATCAAAATTATATCATTAATACTCAACATTATGTACAGTAGCCTGGCCTTGTATTCTAGATATTTTTGTAGAATAATAACATTTGAAGAACTGATAGTTTTAGATAACTTTACAAAAATAAGGACTATTTCAGAGAATATATTTGTAAAAATATAGTATTATCACTAACTTGAGGAACAAGAGATGATTTAGAAGAAAAAAAAAGAAAAAAGATGCTAAAATAAAAAAATAAAAAATGCTGCAAATTAATCACAAATTAAAGTTTCATTAAAATAAGAAAATAGTTATGAATAAATAACAAAGCTATTAAAAAAAAATTTGTTTTAAGTGATTAATATTAAAAGTTTATACATACCAATGTCTTTCCACATTTGAAAATGATGTGTGTACTGAAATGTATAGAGTGGTTTGATGAACATGTTTGTCCCCTAAATGTTACTGTAATCCGTTTCTGATTGTCTTCAGAAAAAGTTGGGGAATTTGTAAAGTTGCCTAATTTTACTGGCTGTGACAAAGAACCATGTGTTTTCCGACACACAGCACTTCCAGTCGGGCAACCATTGGCTTCAATTGCAGAACAAAAGCTGAACAGGAAGGTTTCATTTGAAGGATTCACAGAGATCCAAGGTTCCTTCCTGAGAAAAGAATAAAAAATAAATAATAAAAATAAATGAAAAAGACATATCAGTTAGATATCAATCATAGAACACAGATTTCATTTACTGATTGAAGTGGAATTCAAATTAAATTAAAATTGTGCATTATATATATATATATATATATATATATATACACACACACGTTATTTTTAATTTATTTTGTTCAAAAGGTTATTATTGATGGATACTCATATTCAAGTAGTGGATATATTTTTTAATTAACCTGTATTTTTTATCCAACTACATCTACTGGCCTGAATTTTTGAGAAATCTTGTCTGAAAAAAAAAAAAAAAAAAAAAAAAAAGTGTCCTGTGCAGGATTCAAACCTGTATCCCCTATGGGGAACAATCATTGGATCTGACATGCCTGACCACTCAGTCATGTAGGACTCCTGTTCAAACAAAGCCCAAATAGTACCTTTTGAATAAACATATAAGGATCAGACAAAAAAAAAAAAAAAAAAAATGATGTCTGAATTTAATTTTACATGTATTTATTAGAATTCATACAAAGTGTCAAGAATCTCAAGAGAAAATTTTTGTCAAATTTACACAACTTTTACTACCTACAGTCCACTTTCAAAATGTGTGTGTGTGAGAGAGATACTATGGACTCCCACATAGAAGAGGAAGGCATAGTTTTATCTTGATCTCAAGTATTTCTGTTTGATAGACCAGTGGGCCTTCTAAGTGATATCCACTTTAACCTAGAGGAAATAGGAGGGATGAGGGATTTTTGCATATTAAGTAAGAAACATTAACCATCTGAGTTACCAAACACAAAGAAAGAAAGAAAGAAAAAGTGTCATGCAAAACCTTATGGCTCAATTACATATCTATATTTGAAGGCTTTACATGAAATGGTTTGATTGTGCATAATGAACTGAAATTCTACCATTTATATATAATTTAGACACACAGAAATACATGTACATATAGATACACAAATGCCAAACTGCACTAAAAATAGTGATTCAATTTTATACATACAAATGAAAACTGAAATTGTTTTTAATATCATTCATAAAAGGCACCAACAAAAGATAACAGTTATATAAAAAAAAAAGTTATGTTCTAAAATGTCATGTTGGAATAGCAACAGCTGGTATTTGAAAAGAATATTCTATACCTACTGTGGTTAGAGCAGCCTTGGGAGAGGGGAGGACAGAGTTTCACCACTGAAGTTTGTCTATGAGGGTAACCAATGTTAAAACCCAACCAGAAAAAAAAAAAAAATAAAAAAATAAAACAATGATAAAATCTAAGTTTTAAGTCAGTAAATGTCAACAAACACTAGAAATGGAATTGTTTATGTGGGATTTGTATGGATGATGAAAGGCAGGACATTACACAAGATAGGAAGTTTCAATTTCATGGAATTTAAGAAAAAAAAACAACAAAAAAACAATCAAATAATTCTACTAATTGTTCTTGGAAAAAAAAAAAAAGATTCTATAAATATTCACACTGAACATACTTTTCCTGTCTTAGGTACAATAACCCAATTTTGTGTAATATCCTTCAGCAAAATACATTTTGCTAAGAAAATCTGTTTTAAATCCCAAATGATTGATACCTTTCTTTGTAAAACTCACCTTTCATGACCCAGGGAAATTAACTGGAGTTCTCTCCCTTTTTGAGCAAAAGTTGTTCCCATGAGGAAACCTTAAATTCTTAAAATATATGCAGCTCTTTATGGCATTGGAATTCCAAGGTAAAAAAAGCCAAGCATGTATCAGTCCATCAGAAATGGATAACCAAGTCAGTTAAGTAATAGCTATCACACCAGATCAGTATCACAGATTTTACAACTAAGTAGACGGATTCTTCAAAATTAGGTAAATTACATACCACCTCTCCTTCCCAAAAATCCAAACTTCTAGCTGAATTTAAATGCTAACCAATATTAGAAACAATATCACATTTTGGCCACCAGAAAGTGGCCAAAATGCAAGGCAACACAGACTCAAGTAAGCTTAGATGGTCACATAATTAACTTAACCGACAGGGATATGGATTTGTATGTTGAGCCATTACACTATAAATGTTAGCTATCTAATTCAGCCTTTTATATGATGTAACCTCAGTACTTAGCCGTTACAAATATTTCCAAGATTATAAACCTTCCTGGAGCCAAGCCACAAGCCTAAACCTAAAGGTTCCTGCTGCTGCTAGTAAACAGAGTTTACTAGCAACAGCAGGAACCTTTCTGCTCTTGGCTAGTGTGTCATTGCCATACAAACAAAATTGGATGAGTGATTAATGTGAACAATATGTGGCACCCAAGTTTTTCACATTGATAGTCAGTATCACTTGAGATGAAAAAAAAAAAAAAAAAAAAAAAGAAGATTCCTCGAGTAATGCCCACCGAGTTTTACACTATTCAATGCAATTTTGTACAGATTGTTGTCAGTGTTGCTCACCATAAATCCAATAATGTTCCATGCTTCATCACCTCTGCTTCTATTTAGAACAAGTCATCTATGACTGCATCTTCTCAGCTTCTTGTTGGTACCAAGTGATTTTCATAAAGCCATCAACATTTTCAATGCCTAATGGCTGTTACACTTTCAGCCTTGCTTTCAGACACTGCACATGTCAATTTTATTCTTTATACTGGACACCAATTCATACAGATGTGAGGTTAGATCAACATATCCTTGTTAGCATGTTCTAGTGAGCTTTGCGGATAACAGGTTCTTTTTCAGAAATTAATTTCATTATTGGCCAAAAGTTGATTTACTTCAGTGATGATACCAGACTGCAGAATTGTATATATGCCAAACAGCAGAAATTCATCCAAAAGTTATTTCAGCTGTACATTTGAAAACAGCTTCAAAACACAAAATGTAAGATGGTTTTGATAAACCAGTACTTATTATGTACCACTGACTGCATGTCAATAAGATCAACTTGTAGAAGTGAAATCTATTCTGAAGAATAGTTGCCATTGCCTTTTTTCTCTTCCTTTGGCATTCTTCACCCAGAGACTTGAAAAGTTCATTTTTGGAAGTTCTTTAAGCATATGGTTTTTCCCATTAGTCAGTATAAAGAAGAGCCTACTTGATATCAAATGGATCCTTGATGATCCAGTATTAAAGTGAAGCTCAACTCTTTTCTTTACAAGTTCCTCAACATCTCCACAAAAAATATTTCAAATTTTGAGAGCAAATATTAGCTGTCATATTTTTGTATATACACGTGTCTCTTCTGCCAATATCTCTAATTTGCTAAGCGTAGATTCTTCTATGTACATGGGTGATCATCATTTGTTCTCCACAACTTCCTGTCTGTCAAACTTTTAATTGGGTAGCAGATACTTCTTGCATGTCTCACAAATGGAAAAGGACATTTTTTTGCGTCTAAAAAAAAAAAAAAATTTCTTTCTTGCCTGTAGCATAAGATTATTAAATGTTTCCACTACTTCAAAAATAAATGAATATAGACTAGCCTTAAACCCATGAACAAAGAATCACTGGTGCTTACCAATAACAGACTTTGAGAAAAAGACAAACTCAATTATAATTGCAAATACAGAAAGTACCAGTCATTTAACAACTTTGTGTATTTGGTGTTTTCATGAAATCAGCAGCACACATCCAATGGTCTTTTACTTGTTGTAAAGAGTTTTTTTTATTTAGTCATTTATTTACATAATTATTCTCAAAAGAAAGATTAACCACATATCAGTTAAATTGTATCGAGATTTGCTTTAAAATATTTTATGCCAATAGAAAAGGTTTTGTGGAGATTATTATGGTCTTTAATTCCTGTATTTTTAGGTTCTACTATTATTTCTTGCAATTTTACTAAAAATTACCATAATTTCCTAAAGGAGTAATGCTTTTCCACCAAATTGTTATGGAATGAATAGGTATCAATAATCATAAATATTTGAAGGCTCAACTGGAAAAGAATTTCGTTACAGAATTGTTGGATATAGAGGCAACATTATTATAATGCTAAATTGTTAAACATATCAATCTGACGAGATTGCCATTGGGTAACATCTGTTTTCAAAATCAATTAAAGAAATATGACATTATGTTTGCATATATGACAAATTATAACAAATCAAAAGTGATATTTTTTAATCAAGAATGCAGCAGTCAAATAATCTATTCTCAGACATATTTCATTCTCAACAGTTTTCTTTTGTACTATTGTTTACCAAGCAAAAAACCCAAGAGCCACACAAGGTAGAGTGACTGAATAAGGTTGTTGTAAGGGCATAAAGGGAAGTGATAAGTGCATATTATGAGGATAATGTGTAGATAATGGTCAACATTAGAATTGAAGAGGCAAGATTGTGGTAGTTGGGGAAGCATCCTCTTGAAAGCAGAATGAAAATTCCTCCTTACCAAAGAAATACTAAGGGTACAAGGATGAGTTGACAATGTATGGCACAGTGGGTCCTAACCGTGATAGTTTTAACTGAGGGAACTAAGGAATACATTCCTCATCTGAAAATCTGCATTGGAAATAAGAATTGATAAAACAATTTTCCTTTAAGGAAATTATTTAACAAAAATTTTTAAAATACCTGTATACAAACATATAGATTTAATAACTACCATAAAGAAAATAATGAATACTCTTAAACAGATATATTGGTGCTATGACTGGGTACGATCAAATTGGTAATAACCTGCTTAGATGTTTTGTATTACTTGGGCAACAGACAAATGAATTATTACTGCCAGTTTATCACATGAGTAAATTAGTGAAATAATCATTGTAATTATTTTCATGAAATCATTTATATTTTTAGGGATTACATGAAATTCCTTACTAAAACGAGGTTTTCCTGAAATTTATGACACCTTCTTGAAAAGGATTTTCACAAATTTCCTAGTTTCATAATCATATCAATATAGAAAAGAAGAGGTGAAAGTGAAAAGAGAATGCTATTTAGATATTAAATAACATATTTTAGATTTTATAATTACTAAAACAGTTATCCTACTTTCTTCACT